TTTTTGACCCTTTCGTTCCCAAACGAGGAAAAGATTTTTTAAAATTTTATATATTATATTATATAAATATATATATAAAAATATAAATATATAATTTTATATAGGGGAAAAAAGAGGTTGATGACGCATGGTGACCCGAAGAATGCAGTTTGGGGTGAGGACGGGGAAAGATATTCATGTACCCTTTTTGTTGAGTTGGGGCTTTGCCTGCTTTGGTATAGTATTAAGTTTTTTGAAATTTTGGTTTACGTGTTAGTTTGTTATGCGGTGACGGCGATTAGCGAGCTTTTAGGGACCCTCGGGGTCTGAGGTCTGGTTCGGGGGAAACGAGTTGGCCCATCCCAGTTTTACCCAAAAGGCCCCCGGGCCCAGGAACCCAACGTCCTTAAATCGTCCCTTTCGGACCAGCTCTTTCGGCCCAATCTCTTTCTGTTTGCCTAATTTTTTTTTGGGGCTGTTTCCCGGGGGGGGTGAGGTTCCCTTGGAAAGTGAGGTTTTTGGGGGCCTTTTTTGTATCTTAAAAAGGGTTTTTGGGGGGAAACAATTTTTTACTATAGAAATGGGGGGTTTTTGGCCCCCTTTTGGGAAAGGGGCTAGTTTACTGTAAAAAGGGGGGGTTTTAAAGGCTTGTTTAAAAGTTTTCTTTCTCAAAAAAAAGGTGAAAGGGGCGAAGGGAAAAGGGTTGTTTTAAGTTCTTTTTAAAAAAAAAAAGGGGGGGTGGAAAAGGTTCAAAAAAAAGAGGATTTTTTTTTGCGGGGGTCTTGGGAAAAAAAAGGGAAAAGGGGTTTGGGTTTTTTTCATAACTTTAAAGAGGTTTTTTACTGTGAGGCCAAAAGGGGTAGAGGAAGGAAGGAAACCTTTTTAGCGGTAAAATTTATTTTAGGGGCTGAAATTTCTTTTTAGGGGCCCGGAATTTTTGAGATGGAAAAAACCCAATTCACCCACCCAGCCCGGGGAACGGGGTTGGGGAAAGAGGGGTGAATTTTTTGTCCATCCCCCCTTCCCCCCCTCCCCCCCGCCCCCCCCTTTTCTTTTTAAACTTAAAAAAACACAAAGTCCTGTTTTTTTTGGGGGGGGTTTGTGGTTTTTCGGGGGGGAGGTCCAAAATTTTTTGGGGGCCCCAGGGTTTTGGGGGGGGGCGTTAAAAGGTTTTGGAGTTTTTTTAAATTTGTTTTGGGAAATTTGGGGGTTTAAATGGTTTTTGGGTGGTTTTTGGTGGGGTTAAAAGGGGGCTGGGTATTGGGGTGCCCCTTTTTCCCGGGGTTTCCCACCCGAAAAGAAAATTTTATCCCCTTTTTTGTCTTAAGGAAAATAAAACCCCAGCCCCTACCCGTAAAAGAAAAAATTTTTGGGCTTTCTACCCTTTTTTAATGCCCCCCTTCGAAGAAAAACTGGACCGAAACCTGTTTGAACAGGGGGGTTTTAAACACCCTGTTGATGAACACACCATCTGACAGCAAACCCTCCCTCTTTGCACCCCCTGGGGGGAACCCCTCACCCTGTTGCTGAACACACTCACCCCTTGAAATGAAAATCCCTACCCTCTGAATGAAACACACCCTTCGAAAAGCAAAAACCACTTTTGCACCCTTTTCCCCTTTTACACTGCAAAAACTATTGACACGCAACAAAAACCCTTTTTCAAAAATCCAACCCCAATGGAAATTTAAAAAATACGGTCTAATTTTTTTTAATCCCTGGTTTTTTAAAACCCCCCTACCCGGCTTTAAAACCCAGTACCGACCCTTTGGGACCCGATTTCGGAATTCTTTTTCATCCAATTGCAACTCCTTTGGTTTATTCCAAAAAAAGGAGGCATTTATTTAACTCCCCCCGGTTTTTTTTAATTTCAATACTGGATTGAAAGCTAGGGGGCTTCCCTCAAGATTTTTAGATTTTCCATCCTACTCCCCCCTGATGGTGTTATTTCAAAAAAAGGGCTGGAATCCAAGGGGTTTTTTTAAAATTTTTTTTTTCCGGATTTAAAAGTTCTACCTGGGTTTGTTTTTTTTTTTCCCCCTAGCAGAACAAATTATAAAAAATTTTAAAATTCCCTTTAATTTTAAAAACCCTTTCCTTTTTTACCAAAAAAATTTTGATTTAAAACCCTAAATTTAACTTTTTAAAATTCTTTTAATATATTAATTTTATTTATCTGAATTTTTGGAATTAAAATTTTCCCCTTTTTCATCATATAATTTTTCTTTTTCCCCCTCAAAACCCCCTTTAAAATAAAGGGGAAAATCCAGTAAACCCCAGACTCCCCCCCATGTACTACCATCATACCTTCCATGTACTACCCCCCTTTATCTCCCCTGTAATCCATGAATACCTCCCAAGACTACCTCCCTTTACTTCCCCCACCCCCCCTACTACTCATTACCCTCCCCTGCCACCTCCCATCACTATCCCCTGTACTACCCCCCATACCCCCAGTACTACTTTTCCCCTGCACTACCTCCCCTGTTTTCTACCCCCATGTATTACCATGAAATTTCCCCTGTACTACCCACCATGTTACCTCCAAAGCATATCCCATGCACACCTCCCCTTAAATTTTCATGTACTACCTCCATGCCAAAACCCCCATGACTACCCCCCATTACTTTCCCGTATTCTACCTCCCCTACACCTCCCTTTATTCCTTAATACCCCCCAAAAGCACCTCAAAATCCCATGTACCCCACTTTTTCAATTTCCTCCAAAGCACTACCTTCATACCCTCCCTTTACTACCCCCATAACCCCCCATCTCCCTTTCTACCTCCGACTTTACACTAAAGTCATTCCCTTTTCCCTTTCCCGCCCCCTATTTTCTTTAAAGCCTTTTCCCCCCCACCCCACCCCGCCCTTTCCCCCAAACCCCCAGCACACCCCCAAATTCCCCCCTTTATCTTCCCATTATCCCCTTGATATTCCCCTAATTCCCCTGACTATCCTAACCCAGATTTTGTTTTTCTCACCAAATGGGAAAAAGTCTTTTTTCGGCTGATCTGTTATAGGCTTTGGGGGGGTGGGGTTTTCCCCGATGTTGCGGTTTAATGGTTTTAAAAAGTACCCCCGGTTTTTCAAAAAGAGCAAGCCCCTGTGGTCTGTTTTCAAGCCCCCAAAAAAAAAAAGTTGGGGTTTTTGCATTAAAATTTTTAACCCCGTTGATTTTTCCAGGGGAAAAAAGTCAGCTGGAGTATGTTTTGTATTAAAGTTGTTTTGTGGGGGATCAAATTTAAACAAATGTTGAAATTGTATGTCGGGGTGGGGTTTTTTAGGGGTATTTAAAGCTGGTATTTATTTTAGGGGGATTGGGATTCAGGTGGTATTTTTTTGCAGGGTTTGGGATTGTATGTCAGGGTGGTTTGGTTGTAGAGGTTGGATGTCAAGTGGGTTTTTGTCGGGTGTGGGTTTTCGGGTTTTGGGATTTTTATTCAGGGGTGTATTGATGCAGGTGGTATTGTAAAAGTCAGGCTGGGTTTTTTTTCAGGGTGTATTGTTGCAGGCGGGGATTGTATGTCAGGGTTTTGGGTATTGGTGTGGAGGGTGATGTCAGGAAAGGAGTCAGGTGGGGAGTAACAGGGAAGGGATTTAGCATGGTATTTGTAAAGGGAGGTTTTGTATGTCAGGCAGGATTGTATTCAGGCATGGTTTGAGAGGCATGGTATTTTTTTAGGTTTGGAGGTATGTGGCATTTTTGTAGCACAGGTTTGAAAATTAACTTAATTTATGTGGCCCCTTTTTTATTCCCCGGGAGGTATTTATTCCGAGGTTTGATTACAAAAGGAAAAAATTTAAGAGGCTGGAAATTTTTTCGGATATTTTTGTACATTGGGTTTTTTGCGGGTGGAAAAATTTTTGGTGGGATTTGATGCCATTGTTGTGGTGTTTGATGAGGGTGGAGACGGTGGGAGTAGCGGAGGATTATTACTGGTATTGGGAGTCAGCGGTATTTAGCGGTGTATTGTTGTAGAAAGGGATTTTTTTCGGATTTTTTTAAGCAGCAGGGATTGTTTCAGGCAAATTCAGGATTTTTTATTTTACTTTTATTTATTAGGATTTTGTATTAAAGGGGGGGTAAAAATAATGGTATTTTTGCAATTTTTTTTATTCACAGGTTTGTAATTTATCTGGATTTATTTAGGATTATTTTCAACATGGATTTTTAGCAGGAGTAGACAAGGTAGTAACAGGCATGGTTTTTATTTGGATTTTTTTTTCAGGCAGGTTTTTTTTTAATGGGGGGTTGTTTTCCAAAAAATTTGCAAATAATTTTTAAAATTTTTTTAAAAAAAGTGGGTTTTAAAAATTGGGGTTTAGTATTCTTGAAAAATTAATAAATTAATAAAAAACTGGGGGACTTTAAAACCCCCCGTTTAAGTTTCCGAGGTGGGGTTCCAAACCCAAAGGGAAAGGGGGGCGGCGAGAAGGGAATTTGGGTCCCCTTTTTTAAGGGTTTTGATTCGGTGGGTCATATTTGGGGGTTAGTGCAGGGGGGCCTAGCCCCCCTTTTTGCAACCCTTTGGTATTGATTTTCTGGAGGGGCCGGGTTAGACCCCTTTAGTGATTTCCGGATACGGCTAACCATCCCTTTTGTTATTGTTCAAATTCGGCAGCTCATTTATGTTTGCTCAGGTCCGGTGGTCACCCTGGGATTAGTTGCCGGAGGGCCAATCAACTCTGGGGGGATTTTTGGGGGGGCCCCAGGAAATCCCTTTTATTTTTTCTGAAATGCGCGAACCACTTGGGGGTGTTTTTCTTTGGGTGGTCCCCCCCGGGATGTAGTTTTTGGATGCCCCCAAATCCCCGAGGGTGTTTAGGGCAATGGTGAAATCTATTGTGATTCAAGTAATACGCCGGAGTAATGTATAAAGAACATAAAATTATCAGTAAGAAGAGGTAAGAAAAATCATTAACAGGGATCTGAGAAATCATTTACTTGGAGTAGAGAAATCATATACAGTATATTTATGAAGGAAATACCTTTGTTGTGTTATCGTATATTAAACTGACCTCTGCTCTGTAGAGTGCGGTGCCGAAGGCTGGGGTGTGGGGCCTCTGGCAAGTAAGACTAAGAGAGGAGGCGGTGATGTTAGCCAGACCGCAAGACGACAACGGGAGGGGCATCTCTGGGAGAAGACCACTCTCTTACCCTTTACAGTTATATATACATATAACAGTTGAATTACATTAATATACGTGCTCATAGTGCAAAAAATCGCAGACAATCTCCCCCCTTCCGTGGCTTGTCTTGCATACTTATTCAGTGTTCCATTCTTTTGGTAACAAAATAACCAGACGAGGTGCACGCTTAGTGATCCTCTGCTACAGTGACCAACTGACCCAGTGATCTACAGGCTCAGTATCCAATAGCTATAGTGATTCATTGCTACAATTATCCACTACTACAGAACCTCACTGTTCCAGTGATCTACAGGATCAATGTTTCACTAAGTCTGTCCCCTGGTAGCCATTTATAGCTCCTGACACGGATGTGTTTCCTCCCCAAAGTCATAACTCTGCAGAGAATGAATGCACCTCCCAGCCCATTCATTCTCTATTCTCATTCATCCTGACCACTGCCTAGCAGAAGCACTTAGGGGACTACGACCTTTTCCTTTCCCATGGCCTGTGTACCGTGGTTTTCGATTGAAGCTACATTAAGCACATGTACACTGCAAATAAACCAAGAAAGTGCCCGGGCTTTACGTCAATCCTAATCTGCACATGAAAGTCAACGACGTTGGTGAGAGTAGTAACCCAGCCAGCCTCTGGACAAGTGTGTTCAGCACTTCCGCCTGACTACCAACAAAACCAAACAAACTTAATTTGTAGTTTGAGGCAAACACATTTTCATCAGCATCCTGTAAGGTCATCCACCGAGTTGCAAGGTTGCAACAGCCTTCACTACGTCACTTCGACCAGTACTGGATTAAAGTGAAGAATAAGACGCTTGTGCAACAGTTGGGCGTCTTTATTGATGAAACGTATCGCCCACACATTAAACTTCTTCATTCGAATACAGAGGGAGCAGTAGTAATGAAATAAATTATTAGAGGTGGCCTAGTTATGAGTGAGAAGGACTGGATTCCAGAGGGACCCGCCTTACTTCCAGTAGTGGATCCCCTCCCCTACAACGTCTTCCACCTCACCTTCGACAGTATTTAAGACCCCGTTCTCCTGCTTCAGCTTCATATCTTTCCAGACTATGGAACTGAACTCTTCTCCAGGCTGAGAGACTGACCACTTCAAATACTTTTTCTCCAGGGTTGCTGGACTTATGGCATCATCTTCATTTCATTACTACTGCTCTCTTCGTATTTGTCTGAAGAAACCTACTGTACTCACCTAATTGTGGTTGCAGCGATACGTTTCATTGATAAAGATAACCAACTGTGTTACATGTGCCTTAATCTTCAACTTAGCCAGAATTTTATAAAATTCTCAACAACAATGGATTTAGTTGTGGGCAGAGTAGCCATTTTCCATACTGGACTCCAACTAATAAGGGAATCCACACTAAAGATGTTAGTGAAAAATATCTAGATCTAGATGTATTTTGCGGGATCAGAAGACATCTAGATCTATGGTCTGTCTCAATGCTTGTGATTGGAAGAGTGCAAAGTGCGGAATAAGTTGATAATGCAGTTAAATATTAGCATTTATAGATATGAAGGGAATCAGATAAAGTATTAAAATAAATGGAAACTAATATTCAGGTGTCTTTCAAAAAAAATGGTAACTGAGGACATAAACAGCCTAAATCTAATTAAAGCCTTTGAAAGAGACCAGAGACCAATATCCTAAAATACACTAAGTACATTAAGCTTGAAGCTGCTAAAAATTGCATTACAGAGAAGAGTTGGAAAACTTGAAGCCAATCAGAAGCGACACAGAAATTATCGAATGAAAAGCAGTTTTTAAATTTTTTCAGTTTCTTATATAAAGGAAGCTGCCCCGTGGCCTGGTCACTGAAGCTCTCGCTTCACACGGCAAGGGTCTGCGTTCGATTCCCAGAGCGGGTAGAAACATTGGACGTGTTTCATTACACCAGTTGTCTGTGTTCACCCATCAGTAAAATGGATACCTAGGAGTTAGTTGACTGGTGCGGGTAGCATCCTGGGACAAGGACCTAATTTGCCGGAAATGCTCAGCATAACAAGCGGATTTCTATATAGTATTATGTCATTGATGTCAGCTAGGCCTGTATACCTTGTACATGTACTTGTAGTAAATAAAGATATATTCATAACTTTAATCTAAGGAAAATTGACCAGCTTTAAAGCAAGAAGAGTAAGTGTGTATTACATACAAACTTTTAAAAAATTTCTTCAGGGTACACAGATTTGTTTTTAAACACGTCGGCTGTTTTTCAGCGAGGAATGTTGACCCGGAAAAGAAGAAACATACACAAATAACCCGCACATAAAAGAGAGAAGCTTACGACGACGTTTCGGTCCGACTTGGACCATTGACTTTGTCAATGGTCCAAGTCAATGGTGTATCGTTCCAGTCACGGTATTGTGCCTTTTTGTTATTTATTTAAGAAGAAACATTTCTATCATCACTCATTCCCTCTGTGTCTTGAAAGAGGCGTGCCTGTATATTGAAATATTGAATATTAAATATTGAAACCGTTCACTAGAGGCAAACTAAAACTTATTTAACGGGATTTAACATAACATTTTTCACAGTATATGGAAAAGGGGTCAAATTAGCAGCTACATGAATTTCACTCTCCTGCGTCGTCATATTTATTTGGGACTTTTTTTTTTTTGAACGTTTGTAGCTATGGCACTGAGGGTTGTACAAGTTATCTGAGCCATTTCAAGATGCTGGGATTGGTTTAACAACTTGGGTTATGTGACAAGTAAACCTGTCAAATTTTCTAAGAATTTAGTGTTCGTTGCCATACATACGTGTTAAATATTTTAAGCCGATTGGATGAGATTTCAAGTTATAAGCAAAATAACATTGAAAAATTGAAGGAAGAAAAACAAGTCTACCTCTAAAGGTATACCTTCGGGGATACCTAATAACATTACTTAAATCAGTGTTCCACAACCAATTTATAGTTGGGTAAGTGTTACACGTTGGTCATCCAGGCTGATGTATATGAAGTACTCGCACATGGCTATCATCAAGTGCCAGACGTTACTGCACAAATTATGACCTAAATGTAATATCCAAAATACGCTGTTAAGCAAGCGGATCGTGTGAAGGTATGTGTATCTTTGAGTCAGGACTGCACTCAGTTTTCTCAAATGATATTTTGGATCGGGTGAATAGAAATAATCAGAATTTAGAAGACTTCAGTTAGATCTAAGACTGCAAATTGTCTCTCAGCCACATCTGCAAGAGGAATATTGTCATACTATGCACCTACAGTCAGTATCTGTGGCCTGCATTCCTCGTTGTGTGCAGAATCGACCAAGACAGTGAGTGCTTAGTAAGTGAATAGTGCTGGTGGCATCATAGTGGTACAGTTGGCACCTCGCCCCACTACCCAGCTTCCTGCCGACACGACTCCTCTCTCATGAATATATTCACAGACTGCCTGCACTCACTTCCTGCTTTATCCATCGGTGTTGCGTGTATGACACCAGAAAAAACATTTTCAGTGGGAAGAGCTTTATGAAATTTATATAAGAGTAAAGAGTTACGTCCCTATCATTGACTCTTCGATGCATATTCAAAAAATTAAATGGCGGACTTATTTAATTATTATTTGATTAGATATTCAACTCGCGAAATACTGCATTATCATTAACATCTCAGATTTACTTTAATCCCATTTTTAGGGATTAAAGTATTCTTGTCTTGTGTGAAGCTGTTACATACAGCCCTCATACTCTCCTACAGTAACTCTCGTATGATCGATGTTTTAAACCCTATTCATCAGCCTCGTAACAAACACTGGATACATACAAAAAAAAAATGTGTCTGACTCTACACTGAGAGATTACCTTAATCAATATTTTAAGGATTAGAATGGTCTTGACTGGTTGTGAACAGGTTACACGCAGGTTTAATAATCCTCTTGTAGTAGATAGCCTTTAAACCTAAAGGTTATATATACCCAGAGGGATATATACACCAAGAGTTGTATGTTTCTGAGTGTGTATTTTCTAAGGCTACTTTCAGCTTCAGTGAGCCTCGTATAGCCGATTAAATCAAACTTATTGCAAATACGAGAAACTAGATTTATTATAGTTGGGCAGTCTGAGAAAAGTTTACATTGTAATTAAAGATCAGTGTTGAAGATTTGAAGTGAATCGGGAAGAGTTAATCAAAAGTCATCACATGAACACTTATCCAATTTCTTCCATAAACAGGGCAAGTTAACACATGCAGGCAACGAAAATAATTCGAACCTTAAACTAAGAAACATCGTCTTTGAAGGTAAAATGAATGCTCGTGGTCGTGTAATATTGAGATCAACGTCATAAAATACATCAGTACCTTAAGTATGAAGTCATTCAGAAGTCGTATTATGAAGTTAGCGCCGAAGGGTAGATGCTAATTGGAAGAAATACTCAGAAATTATCACACGAAAACTAACATTCCAACTTTCCCAGTCTCTTCCATAAAAAAGGCAAATGAGACGTAAACATGCCAAAATATATCGGAACTAATGCATCAGCGTTAATATTTAGAAGCCAGTGGCCTGTGAGGTCACCGGACCTAACTGCTTGTGAATTCTTTCTTTGGGGATACGTGAAGAGCACAATTTACGTACCACCACTACCTGCAACCCTGGAGGAGCTGAAAATTTCAAACACTGAAGCAGTTCGCAAGATAACACCAGATATGCTGCAGAGCGTCTTCACCGAACTGGATTATCACATCGATGTTTGCCGAGCAACCAGAGGGGCGCACATTGAGTGCTTTAATGCTACCTTATACCACATGAAAATGAAATCCTGCATCTGAAGCTACTAACTGTGAAAGATTATTACAATAGAGGTACATGTTATACCTATTTTAAATCAGGGAGTGTTTTTGTGGCCACCCTGTATACTAATGTATTGTAGAACCAGCCACATGAGATGAAAATCTTGAGGTCAAGATCTTTCGCACTCTATGCAGATGTGCACTACACACTTCAGTTTCACTCTCGTCTGCCGAA